AAAAAAAAAAGAAAAGAAAGAAAGAAAGCAGGCTGAGCAAGCCAGGGGGGCAAGCCTGTAAGCAGTGCTGGTTCCTCCACGGAGTCGGCTTCAGTTCCCACCTCCGGGTTACTGCTTGAGGTCTTTGAACCTCTTCGTCCTCAAGTTGATGTTGGTCATGGTGTTTTGTCACACTGTCTACAGAAAGCAGACTAAGACACTCATGTTACTAGGGACTGATACACTGGGCTAGGAATCCAGCACCCTCTCTGAAGCCACCAAACCACTTAAGAGGTGGCTGATGCCACTCTCACTCTTTGAGTGGCTCTATCACAACACAAGGTCACAGGGCAGGGGCGACTCTCTCGCTGGCACTGATGGATTGCTGCATCTAGGGTAGGGTTCTACTTATCTTCTGGAGGTCCTCAAGGACATAGTTAGAGCTGGAGATCCTTGGCATAGGGAGTCCTGCTATGGCCTGCACTGTGTAGAAGGCGGTGCATTCCTGGTCTCTGCCCCTCGGCTCTCTGCCAAGTGTTACACACCGCTTTCCTTTCGCAGATCCGTGCCGCTCAACATCACCTTAGCAATGCAGCCACCTCATTGGAGACTTCACACCTCCCATCCAGTCCTCCCTTTTTGCTCCACCTCACTTAGCTCTCAGCATCACCTACTTTATTAAGTTATCCTATGATCTGTCTTCTGACACTAGACTCTAAGCTCCACAAGGGCAGGGATTCTGATCTGCTCTGTTTAGAGCCAAATCTTCCATGTCTGGAATGTGAGTGTGCATAGTAGCTACTAAGAATATCTTTTTATCGCCACCTCACAGCTACAAAAAACTGAAGTTTGCAGAGAAAACACTTGGCTTTAGCAGCAGCCCCAAGCCCAGATTTTCTGTGTGCTTGAAGGTAGACTGCACTGTGGCCACACACTGCTGACTGCTGCTCTCTGTGGCATTGAATGCTCCCGTGAAGCTGTCGGGAAATAGTTAAACAAGTTATGATTTAAGCCTCCTCTAATAGACAGTAAGTGAATTAACACAGATCTTTATGTGCTGCTTATATGGAATGGCCTCAAGGATATTTGTGAGTGAAAAAGTAAGATGCCCTGGAGTGCTTTGGAAGTGTTTTCAAAAGAAATGAATAAACAGAATGGCCACACACTCCAAGGCTGGCTGTGCAGAGAAATGTTCCAGGAGACTCGGGAGGAGCTTGGAGTCTCCACCTGGAGCAAGATATTGCTATCCATTTTGCACTGTGGAAATTTAAAATCTTGTACATGATTTTTTTTTCTCTCTCTCACTTTTTTAAGATTTATTTATTATGTACACAGTGTTCTGTCTTCTTGCCAGAAGAGGGCACCAGATTGAATCACAGATTGTTGTGAGCCACCATGTGGTTGCTGGGAATTGAACTCAGGACCTCTGGTAGAGCAGTCAGTGCTCTTAACCTCCAAGCTATCTCTCCAGTTCGGTTTTCTCTTTTCAACAATATAAATTGTCCAGAAAGTTTAAAACAAAGCCTCAGGACTCATATCAAAGAATAACAGTCCCCTTCTCTACCACCCTGTGCTTGAATTCTTCTGTTCCTGAAGGCAGTGAACTCAAGCCTCATTTCTGCCCCTTCTGTTTGCTGTTCTCTTTCTAAGTCAGGCTCTGAGTTAGATCTCCAGGCCTGCCAGTGATGCACATCCCTGTGGAGGATCTTGGTAACTGTAGGATCTGGGCTGGGTGTATAGCTGAGTGGAGGAGCACTGGCTAGCATGCATGATGCCGCGGGTGTGACAGAAACATACTCACCTCCTTCTCCTCCCTACAATGCAGGGTCTGATTCAGCAGGTCTGGGGCAGCTTCCAAGATTCTGCATTTCCAATATACTCTCATGTGCCGCTGATGCTGCTGGTTTATGGACCATTCTCTGAGTGGCCAGATTAGAACTCCAATGCTGACACAGCTATTTCTCCATCTCTCTGCTTTTGATCTTACTTCCCACTGTAGAGAATGAAATTTTATTTCTCCTCTACCATGACCCTCACTCCCACATACACAAATCCTATCCTCATCCTTCTGATAGGGCTAGATATCCTTTTGGGTTCAATGGGTTTTTGGTATTTAAATTATTATACCTTTGTAGATAATAGTGACGACACCTTAGCCACCCACATACTATGCTATGATTACATTTCCTTTCTTGTTCAACTTTTTTTATTTTATTTTTATTTTTCTAGAGTTAAATTATTGACACACCCCCATCTTACCTTTATTAAAGCATTTACAAAGCTTCCAGATTAAACTGAAAATCTCTGATCAGTAGACTCAAATACACCACAAAATCTATATGTAAGCTGAGTATGTGGTATCTACCTGTAATCCCAGCACTTAGGAGATAGAGGCAGGTAGAACTCTGTGAGTTTGAGGTTAGCCTGGTCAACATAATGGCTTCCAGCCATCCAAGATTACATAGCAAGACCTTGTATATCGGAGCCCTGTCCTTCAGGTCTAATATGGACTATTACCCCGTATAGCCCCGTGTAGAGGGCAGGAGCAGCTCGAAGGGTTCCGAGTCTCTATTCTGAGTTGGGTTCCCCTTACTGCTGCTTGTACCTAGACTACCTTCCTCCTTTCAGCCTCTGTCCCAGATGTTTGCCAGGCCCATGGCTGTGTGGCTGGAACTGATTTTTTTTTTTATTTAGTCTCCTGTGCAGCCAGCTGATGAAACATTGAAAGTAAGAGTTCCCTACACATCCTCCCACCGTTCTTCTTTCTTCAGAACTAAAGCAGAAGAAAGGTGCGCTCGAGCAAGAGGACCAGCAGCCTCTGCACGTCCACATGAGAAACAAACTCTCTTCAGTGATGCAGCTTGGACCAGATCTGGTTTGGGGTGTAACTTTTTGTCTACGTGGGATAGACACATAGTTCCTTCTAGGAAGACACTGGCATTCTTGCCAAGATGCTTAAGCCCCATTCTGATAAATTTTAAGTAAGGCCTCTTCCAGGAAGCTGGCTTCTCATCTATATAGCTGTCAGTCAGTCATCAGTCAGGCTTTTAGTGATCTGGAATTGGATTTTCTTTCTTTTTTTTTTTTTTAATTGTGTTTTGTTGGACAAGGAATATCTAACAACTCTTATATAAAAGGGAAAGGACTATGGTGGTTATGGTGACACACACTTAAGAGACTGAGGTAGGAGAATCACAAGTTGGAGGTCAGCCAGGTCTACACAAAAGCCAGAGTCAGACACATACAGAGAGAGAGAGAGAGAGAGAGAGAGAGAGAGAGAGAGAGAGAGAGAGAGAGAAAGAGAGGCAGAGAGAGACAGAGACAAAGAAACAGAGACAGAGACAGAAAGAGCTAGTTGCAACAGTATTTGCCTCTCTTCCAACTATGAGCAAGCTAGGTTCTATCCTAAAGGCTCACTTGGGTTTTAGTGAGCATCTCTGAAAAAGTATCAGCTCAAGTGCACCGAACAGAAAGGTGTTTTCTCTGAGCCTCCAAGGTCCTTGGAGGAGGGAGAGGAATGGGATTTGTATTGGGTCAGTTGTATGCTGACAGCAACCTAAGCATTTACCAATACTTTGGCTAATGTGATTTTATCAGTGATCCCACAAGATAGGAACTGGAGCAAGCTTCAGTGGCTTTTTCCTGCCAAGTATCCATGGGGGGTGGGGTAGGGAATCTAAATATGGATTAAAACTAGGGAGGGGGTCTTACATGGATCACAAACAACAGGGTGGCTGTGAATAAAGGGTCACTCAGCCTTCTGCACAGGAGAGTCAAAGGGAACAGGGTGTGTGTGAGAGTCCCGGAGAGGACCCCAGCAAGTCTGTCCAGCATGTAGCCTGGGCCCCAAAAGCCTATGTTCAAACTGGGATTGAGCCTGACATCTGTTGGGTCCTGAGTGGTGACAGGGCAGAGGCCAGCATGGGACCAGGTGGGTGAAGGAAGTATGTTAGGGTTTTGTCGTTGTCACAAAATGCCTGACAGAAATAACATAAGGGAACAGAGATTAAAAAGCACTGTTTTGGGGCCGGAGAGATGGCTCAGCAGTTGAAAGCCCATGGTGCGCCTCTACAACTGTATGACCATCACTGGGTTGGGGGCTGATTAGAAGTCAGGGCCTTGAAGCAGGAGAACTGTCATGCGTTCCACACTAGCCGGAGTTACCATGTTACCCCCGTCTCAAAGTATTAATTAACTAAAAGTTATTCGTGGACTTGGAAAGGTGTTCAGCAGTTAAAAGCCCTTCTTGCTCTTGTAGAGGACCTGAGCTCAGTTTCCAGAACCCATGTCAGGTAGCTCTTAACTGCCTGTAAAAGATCAGACACCCACGTATAAATAATTTTTAAATTAAAAAGTAAAATAATAAAAAAGCATTCTTTAAATTTTTTAATGTATTGTTATTATTATTCGTGTGTGTGTGTGTGTGTGTGTGTGTGTGTGTGTGTGTGTGTGTGTGAACATGCATGCAATGGCATGCATGTAGAGGTCAGAAGACAACTTTGTGGAGTCAGTTCTCTCCTGTCCACTAGTACACGGATTCTGGGGATTGCACAAAGGCTGTCAGGCTGGACTGTCTGTCACATGGCCAGTGCCTTGACCAGCTGAGCCAACTCACTAGCTGGGGAAGAAGGGCTCACTACGGCTGGTGGTTCCAGAGGCCTCATCCTGTGGTCAGTTGGCTCTCTTGTTTCTGGGTTGTGTGAGGCAGAGCACCATGGTGGAAGGCATGGTAGAGCACAGCTGTGTACCTCAAGGAGGGTAGGAAACATGAGGGGACAGGGAGGGGCCACAGACCAGGGCTCTCCAAAACACACCCCCAGTGACCCACCTCCTGCAACCAAGCCCCACCTCCTCTTCCCACCACCTCCGACAATGCCACTTCATCCATTGATGAAGACAGAGCCTTCTAATTCAGCCACTTCCCAGGAGCCCTACCTCAGGACACTGCTGGATTGGGAGCCATGTCTTCAACACGTGAGCTTTTAGGGGAATATCTGATATTCTAAATGAGGCCTGGCCATCACCACTCTTCAAGTCCAGGTCATGAAGGCCACAGCACCTGGCTCAGGCCCCCTTTTAGCTGGCCAGAGTCCTTTCAACCGGCAGGGGTGGACTCTGAGCCATCAGGAGAGGCAGGGCCTTGGGAAGCAGGCAGAACACTCTCCACCCCATCCCCCCATCTCCCACCCCCCTGTCGAAACCTCTTATCTTCAGAGGTTGTTGTGTTTTGGAAACACCAACTTTTTTAAAGAACAGTATTATCAAGACCACCATGTATCTGAAAGGCTTACACTTATCTAATTAGCAAGTATACACACACACACACACACACACACACACACACACACACACCGTGCATTGTTGACTCTGCTCTTCAGATAATTACAGGAATCATGAAGGGTATCTACTCAGGGACAGGATGCGGTTGGGAATGGGATGTGCTCATAATGATGGCTGCTGAATGTCCTGGCTCTCAGTCCTGCCAGGATGGTTGTCAGTCTGTGTATGTGTAACTACCCACAAAGAGAACATTGGAGGCCTGTGTATAGAGCTCTTCAGGAATATGGCTCAGACCAGCTTCCCTATGTTCCAGAAGGTAGACCAGAGCTGACCCTGAATGGGGAGAAGAGGAAGCTACACTCCCATTAGGTCCCCAGGCTCCAAGGTCAAGAGCTGTGGGCAAGACACCAGCCCCCAAAGCTGGAGGAGAGGCACTGCCCCATCTGATCGGTCCATAGGTCTAGTCCAAAGACGAGCATGGCTACCACGCATCGTGGAGGATGACAAATGGCTGAGACATAGGGCTCAGCCTTTCCATGGAGTTGGGGGGCAGTTTGGAAAGCCATGTGACCACAACCCTCTCTCCACAGACTGGAGGCCGAAGGCAGCAGTGTGCAGGAGAGGGAAGGTGAAGGCTTGGGTTCTTGTCCCTGAGTCTGAGCCCACACCCTGCCCCTAACCCAAGACCCAGGCTCAGTCACCCAAACAGGAGACAGACAGAGCTTCACAGCCACTAAGAATTAAAACCTATCGATTTTCCCCATTAGCTAAAGAACGCCATCAGAGTGCATTAAAACCAGGCAAAGCACAGCCTCGTGAATAATTAACATCTGCAAATGACAACCCCACGGGGCCTGGGGAGGGGGAAGGGACATCCAGAGGCCAATCTGACCCCTCTGACTCTCACCTCAGGGACTGTAGCGTGGGCTACCTCTCCCCCTCCACCCTGTCTCTTGTCCCTTCCCATTCCACGTCCTCCTTTTGGAGGGACAGACACCCTGTCAACTCTGCACATCCAGAGACCCAAGGTTGACCCTTGAACAGGGAAGGGAAGCCCCGAGTGTCACAACCTTAAGGGAGATGCTGCTCCTTTCTGAACACGTTCTCCTCTGCGATGCAGTGCAGCTGGCCTCTAGCTATGTCTGTCAGTCTGCGGTTCTGGATAGGGACAGAAATCTAAAAACACAGAGTGAATCTGCAGCAGAGCTTGTGTGAGGCCCCGGGGCCCGCCAATCTTCTCCCCAGCTCAATCTCGAACAAGCAGAAAGAAGTATCCTGTTCGGGTAGGCCAATTCAGAGAAGGTGCCCTGTCCAGAAGGGCATATGGAAGCAGGCCCTCAACGCAGACAACCCAGAAAGACAACCCCAGAGGCAGATGTGGATCTCAACCTAAGGGAAGTCTATACAGTTGAATGGTGAGTTCAAGGCCAGCCTGGGCTACACAGTGAGGTGTCAGAAAGAAAAGGAAAGAAGAGAGGGGGCAGAGGTGGGGGGGGGGTTGATTAGGATAAACCATCCTTCAAGTTAATCAACAAGAGAAAGCCTTCCTTTCTAATGGGTGTACCATTTAGAAAAAGACCAAGTCCCTGCACACATTCGAGACTTGGGCAGAGCTGTATCCCTGCCCCAAGGTGCTCTCTGCCAGCTCATCCTTGGGCACTGCTCAGAAGCCAGGCCCCACCCTTTCTTGGCCAAAGAGGTCCAGACCTGTCCAAATTCAATTCCAGGCTTCTAACTCTCCCACTTCCAAACTCCCCAGGTCCCCAGCTTCAAGCCAAGTTCCCACTTGTCTTCCCCACCCAGCCTCCCTCTTCATCCTCCTATGCTGAGAAGCGTGGTTCAGAACAAACACTTCCTAGACCTCCGACCACCTTTATCTCTTCCTGTTTTGTAAGGCTCTGTAACATCCCATCATACTCTCTGTCTGCTAGTCTCGACCCACCTCTTGAGCCCCTGGGAAAGCTCTACCCCTTCCAAAAAGCCAGCTTAAAGACGTTCCCTGCCTCTCACCCTCCTCTCCAAGTGCCAGCTAGTTCCTGTGTTTGAGCTGGGAGGTTCTCTCTCCAGATCTTCTGGTAGGTATCTCCCTCTCCTGCAGGTTGCTGCTCTGATATCACCTTGTTGGGCGTTCTTTCTCAAAACAGCCTTTCTAACTACCTGCCTGCCCCTCAGCCCCATCTCACATCCTCTGCTTAATCCTCTGCCCTTTCCACAGCCTGAATTTCTTTATCCTTTGTTTCCTCTGCTCCCAGGGCCACTGGGAACGGTTGTTATGTGTTGTCAATTTCTGCACAGGTGAGGGGAGCTGAAAACCAGCCCAGGTCCCCACTGAAGGCAGGTGCTTCGGGGTTGCCAGGAGGGAGCGCCCTTTCTAATTCATTGGCACTGTATAGACCAGCTGTGGCCCCTTCAGCCTCCTGTGGGGGTACAAGCCCACCAAAGGAGGAGGAGCCTCTGCCACTTCATGACTGTGCCCTCCGCATCCCGCCCAGTGCCTGATAGACACATGATGATGCCTAGGAAACAGGCAGACAAGGTCCACTCTGGTATCCCCACGCTGAGCTTACTACTAAGCAACGTCTGCCTCATCTCTGGCTCGCATTCGGAGTAGCCATGCAATTAGACCCAGAGTCAGCGATGGTGATTTCTGGGAATGTGCAGGGACTTGGGTAGCTGACTGTGGAGGTGTGAACTGGGGACCCCTGGGGATAGCGCTCTGAGTCCCCCCCACAGATGCTCCCTACCTATGCACGGAGGGTCCAGGTGGCACAGGAAATCTGACCAAGCCCAGGGACTGCGCGGTATGACCGAGTGTCTGCTGCCGCACCAGGCTCCCAGCAGAGGCGTGGTCCTTGCTTCCCTCACTGTGGCCAGCGGCAGCCTCCCAGCTCTGGCAGAGAAGGAGTTAACTTCCAGGCTTCTCAGCGTGAATGTGGAGCTATTAATACCCACAGCCCAGCCATCTAGAGCCACCACAGAGCTGAGCCCCAGAGCGGTGGAGAGGGAGCAGGGAGCAGATCAGCCTCCAGTTTGGCCAACCGGCACCTGACTCCAAGGGTCAGAACTTTTCCTGGGGACAGTTGTGCCAGCCTCACCTGACCCTCACCAACCCTCCAGCTTTAAGTGTTGTCACTCGGCTCTCCTGGAGGCCACTGTACCACTCACTCCAGCAGAGGAGCACAAACTTTGTCACTCACCTCTGTGCCTGCTGGTCAATTGGGAAGAACAAACAGCTGGACAGACACACAGACAGAAGAGTCCTCTGTGGGCCTGTCCTCACAGTCCTGCCTTTAGCAGACATCAGCAGCAGAGTGGACCGCTGAGGTGCTGAGGGCTCCTCCAGAGGCAACGATAGGACCTCTGTCTACTACCGGTCACCTCTTGAGTCCAGGCAGCCGCTAGCTGCTGCTCAAGTGCGGATCCCGTGGTTGGGATCCCTGTGCCTCAAGACCGGAGCTCCAAGAGAGCCACAGGCTCTTCCACCTACCGAGGCGACGGGTAACCTGAGGGAGAAGGCGCAGGTGGCAGGTAGGCAGGCCCGGGGTCCTGAGGCCGACAAGCTGCTGACCCTGGAGCGCACTGGCTCAGAGAACCGTGCCCTGGCTGGGGATGCTGCTGCGGAGACCACCAACGGTCACCCCTGCCCCGTCCTGCGTCTGCCTCCAGCCTGGCCCCTGGGCTGTGGAGCTGACGATGTGCCAGCTTTCTGCTTGGTCTGCTTCCACAGAGAGGAGGAGGAACTGGAAGAGGTTCCACTGCAGAGGTCAGTCCTGGGGTGGGCAGCGGGCTGGCAAGACCATGGTGCAGCCCTCCACCAGGAGCTTAGAGGCCTGGCGACGATGCCTATGGGACCTATCCACCCACTCTTACCACCCCTCCACTGTCCTGCTGAGCTCACTGGCTATCACCACGACCTTCTCCCCCTTCCTCCTACTCTGGCCCTAGATTGACTTGCCTGTCCCTTCACGCCCATTGTGGTCATGTCTTGTCCCTGCTTAGAGGCCTCCATGGTTCTCCAGCTCCTACAGCAGAAAGTCAGCACTTGGCGTTCAAGACCTGTGTGATTGGGGTTAATACCCCATCTCACTCTGTTCCGCTGTATTACCAGGGATAGCCTGGCTTCCTCCACCTAGGTCCAGCTGAAATGCCTCTTCTTCCAGGTAGGCCTTCCAGAAGCCACAGGCCCACTCCAATCCAAGAGCCCCTCGCCCCCCTGGCATTGCCCTGGCATTTAACAGGTGCCCGGTCTTTGTTGAATGAATAAGTGAAAATGTATATGTGTGCATGTGCGCATGTGTGAGCACTCATACATGTGTAAAAGAGGGAGGGAGAGAGGGAGAGAGAAGATGCTTTCTGCAGCCATGATTGTGTGTTTCTGGGCGAGTGTGTGTGATTGTGTACACAGGTTCGTGGGAGCAGGTGTGAGAGTACCTTCGTGATGAGAGTGTATAGCACCAGGTGGAGTTCGGACCCTTACAACTCTCTCCACCCTGACCCTCAGGGGAACCCTGGCTCCAGCCAAGTACATTACCCAAGCTGTGACCCGGGCTCTGGAAGTGAATGTACAAGCTGGCAGGGTCACCTCTGCTCCAGCCCAGCCTGCCTGGGTCAGTACCACCGTGGGAAAGGCAGACACAGGGCCACACTAGGGTCTCTTCCATGCCCAGTAAGGAACAGGAGGAGAGAATGTGGGCTCCCACATCCTAGGCCAGGTGCCCCTCATGACTATGTTGGACCCCAAGCCTATGATTTCCCTGCTGGGGGCCTCTGTGTTCTTATCTGTGTAATGGGTGGATGCTTCCTGCCTGGTTGCTAGCTGACCATGCAAGATGACTGGACACCTGCTGAGCGCCAGGCTTCCACTGGGACCTGGAATCCTGGCACAGCCCTGGTGAGGTCTGTTAGCAGATAGGTTGGGCACAGATTGAGGGCACATTAGCAGGAGTGGGTACGCAGTGCCCATGGAGTCGAGATGCAAGATGGAGCACCTCTGCTCACAGGGGCCACAGCATACTCCATGTCTATCTAGATGTACGATGCCTCCCAGGGAATGGGGGAGGCCTAAGAAAAGGTATCGGTGGGCTGTGCGATGGCCAGGGTGAAGGCTGGTGGTTTGGAAAAGTAGCTGTCCAGGGATGGGGGCGACCCTGCCAGCTTGTACATTCACTTTCAGAGCCGGGGTCACAGCTTGGGTAATGTACTTGGCTGGAGCCAGGGTTTCCCTGAGGATCAGGGTGTGGAGAGTTGTAAAGTGAGGAGGACAAAGGCAGTAGTATCAGATCACGGAGGCCTGGACTTGTGAGCTGAATACTTGATCTGTAGGCACCGGAGCAGCCATGGGAGGGCTGGAAGCCAAACAGGCAGGTTAGGAGACTCAGTGAAGCGGGAGACACTGTACTTAACTCCACAGCCTCAGCGCGGCCACATCGTTTTCATAGTGAAGGTTGGAGTGCTTGGTGAAGACTGAGTAACAGGTCCTTGGCATCCTTTGCTATCATAGTCCCTCTGTCTTTCTTTCCTGTCTCTCTCTCTCCCTATGTCTCTGTCTCTATCTCTCTCGCTATCTCTCGGTGGGGATGGAGTCAGGGCCTTGCACATGCTAGGTTAATTCTCAGCCCTGAGCTGACTATTAACAACACACACAGCCAAGCCCTGCCTTGATGTCCCCCAGCTTCAGGTCTTAGAGCAATGCTAATATTAATCAATCCTGACTGGAGTACTATTCATCAATCCCGACTGGCGAGTGACTCAGGAAGCCCCAGAATGAGGCTCCAGCGCTAGGGTTAGGATCTTCTGTCCCTCTCTCCCTCCTCTTCCCTCCACCCCACCTGCAGCTTTGGGGATTCCTGTGTAGAAGAGGTCCCTCTGTCTCCTGTTCTGGGATATAATGGCCTAGGATTATAGGTTATACTAGGATTATATGATATACTTTCTAACTGACACTCTGGCTCTTTAAGGCCTAGGGGAGGGACACTGCCAGGCTGGGCAGAGATGGTGACCACAGGTGCCAGGTGGTGAAGCTAAAAATACTGAGTGATGTGGACAGCCAGGCTGCGGGAGCCAGGCAGAGCTGGCTGGGAGGGCAGCAAGACAGGGTGAGGTCACCTTGGATTTAGAGAGTGCATGGTGCACCAAAAGCCCTCACCGCGTCTCCTCAGCCTTCTCTGGTGTTTCTCTAGAACATCCAGCTGCCATCTTTAAATGCCGTGGGCCAGTCTGAGTCGGCCACGGTCCTCTTTCATGTTGACGCTGAGTTCTCTTTGGGTCTCTTCTCAGGCAATTAGGAATTGAGAGGCTGTAAGGGGTATAGGCAACCTGCTCATTCGTTGATAGGTTGAACAAACTTCTCAAAGCCTCCAGGGACTGGATACTGAAGCCTCAGAGATGCAGACACTTCCCTGGTGGGGCTCGCTGCCTTCTAGGCACAAATGGCGGCCATGTGAACATGAATCTCTGGGGGCTATAATGAGAGTGTGGGCGCCCTGCCCCTGGATTCTGCTGTAGGTTGATGCACCCTGTGCCCCCTGTCAGGGACAGTGTTACCAACCACCTGCTCACGCTGGTTCAACGTGTTAACTAGGGTGAGGCAGCTGCTGTGCCCATGAGCCTGGAACTTACAGCGACGACATTCTTTACGGTTGATGTCCGTGGAATGGAGTCTAGAGAGAGGGATTCTGCTCCAAGCATTCTTTCACTGACCCCGGCTCTTTCCCATCTCGGGATGGCATAGCTCAGAACCTCAGAATCCCCAAGTGTGGCTCATGCCTGCAAGCCCAGCATTCAGGAGGCTGAGGCAGGTGGATTGTGAGTTCTAGGCCAGCCTAGGCTATATTCTATCTCAAAACAAAATACATTAAATTTAAACTATCACCCAGGGTTTTTGTGAGTCAGCTGGAGACAGCCTCTTTCCCTTGCGTCTATGTGCATTGGCTATGACGGCTAGTTGCAAGGGGAGCTGGGAAGAGGCAGTCCAGTGCAACCACCTCACGGCGGCATTATGAAAGCTTGATACGTGAAGACAAACTGTCTCCTAATCGGTGCAAATTATGCTTATTCATTCACTCAGCCAAGTGGGAGGGCATCTTGCATGGGAGAGAGCTAGGAGCCACATGAGAAACACCAGCTCTGTACTCCTGGAGCTCAGAGTTAATGCGGGACAGACGATACACAAGTAAACCCATGATGTGATCATCAGGTTCAAACCCCTTGTGTGTGTGTGTGGGGGGGGATGAACAGGGACACACAGGAAACACACACTTTGTGTAAGGTGACTTGGGAAGCTGGCATCCCAGAAAAAGGGAGGGGACTGGCCATCCAGGCAGACAGAACGGAGAGGCAAAGGGCCAGAGGCCACCGGCATGCAGTAGTGCTCACTCTGATAGACCAGTGTGGTGAGACAGAGACACACGTGAGACAGGAACGGACCAGATCAACTTGGCCTTGACTGCCCTGCTGAGGAGAATGGATTTCATGCTAATGGGATAGGGAATCCTTTGGAAGCTTTTAAAGGGAAACGACGAAATCTGCTTGACATTTTAAAAGATCCCTGGAGCTGCTCTAGGCGAATCAACGGCTGCTGGGCCAGCATGGATGCAGGACACCAGCGCTGAGATCACGGAGGGATGTGCAGGGTGGGTGACCTGTGGGCAGGCCAGGGTCAAGGGAAGAAGATGGCTGCGAGTACATTTTTGAATATGGTTTGTCCCAAGAGTTCACAGAGGAATTCAATCCCCAAAGTCTTATGTCGATAATATCAAAAGACAGAAAACTAATTGAGGTGTGGTGTTAGAGGTGGTGATCGCAATGGATTAGGTCATTAGCGTGGGAGCTCCCAGGACCGAATCCTAGTGGCTTTGGGAGAGGGAGTAAAGCTCCACGAGCCTGTCCAGGGGTCTGCGTACTCCAGCCATGACATAATGCACCTGTCAATACCTTCCTGCTCCCAACAGAGCCTGTAGAATGCTGCATGAACTTCCCGGCTGCAAACCTACGCACAAGCTTTTTTAAAGATTCGTTTTATTTTTATTTGTATGTATGTGTCTGTGTAAATGTATGCTGTGCGTGTGCGGGTGCCCCCGGGGGGCAGCTGGAGTTATAGTCAATGTCAGTTCTCTCTTTCCAACATGTGGATTCTGGGGATCAAGCTCAGGTCACCGGTTTGGCAGCAAGCTCCTTTAGCCACACAGCCATCCCACTGGCCTCTGTCCAGCAAACGTCTTCTTTTCTTTCTTCCCTTCTTTAAGGATAAGTTTATTTAGAACACTGCAAAGAGAATAGTGAGCAGTGCAAGACAGACTTGCCTGCAAATCTCTTTAA